ATTTAAATTTGAATATCTTTATGTCTTGGCTCATCATGTTGATTACATGTTTCTTGCAGGCAGGGAACTATATCTTAATTTTTTTTTTTTTTTTTGAGACGAAGTCTCACTTTGTTGCCCAGGCTGAAGTGCAGTGGCGCGATCTCAGCTCACTGCAAGCTCCACCTCCCGGGTTCATGCCATTCTCGTGCCTCAGCCTCTGAGTAGCTGGGACTACAGGCACACACTACCATGCCAGGCTAATTTTTTGTATTTTTAGTAGAGATGGGGTGTTACCATGTTAGCCAGGATGGTCTCGATCTCCTGACCTTGTGATCCGCCCGCCTCGGGCTCCCAAAGTGCTGGGATTACAGGCGTGAGCCACCGCGCCTGGCCTTAAATGTTTTAAAATTTGCTTTAATGGCTCCTGGAAATATTACCAAGTTGTTTGTGTGTGTGTGTGTGTGTGTGTGTGTGTGTATTTGTATGTATGTATGTTTTTTTCAGTCTCACATATCTGTCAGTAATAGAATATCTCTGAAATTCAAACATACCTAGCCTCACAAACTTAGTCCCAAAGGTACATACTGTGTTTTTGCAAGAAGGTGGGCAGTCCCTAGTCGGCTGTTGGATTATGTACATTGTGTTGGGGTAGTAGTTGCTGCTAATTGTCTGTCTGCAGCTCCTCAGAACCTGTTGTTGCTTCCTTTTGAAACCTTCCTTGATTGCCCGAGTTGCTGCTCATCCTGCATCCAGGCCCCTCCCTTAGGCATGTGACTCACGGATTTAAAAGACAGTGCTGTGTGGTAATTAACTACCTACCTCTCATCACATAGAGATGAGAACTTAAATGTAGGCTTCCCAGCTAAAACTTTCTTCCCTGTGTGTTTATCCACCCACAGACATGTAGCAACGCTGTCTCACACCTGGCCTTTTGGAGAAAATATTGCTAGACTTATTTCTCTTGTTTGAAATCGCTAGTTGACATATTCCTGTACAAGTGATGGATTTTACATGGGTGCTCTTAATTGAAAATAATTTTATTTTCTGTAACTTCTAGAGTTTTGTTAGTTTATTGATGCACACATCTTGGGTGGGTGACAACTGGGTTTTTTGTGAAGATAATTTTAAGTTTTTAGTAAACAACAATTAAGTATTACTTGACAGTTTAATTGGACTCAATTCTGACATGACCCATACATCCTTAAGGGGACAGATGTTTATCTAATTTTCTATGAAATGTAATTAGTTTTTCAGGAAACTTTGTCCACATAAAGGAATTGATTCCACCCTTACTACCTGCTTCGCAATCCTGAAAAATATTGTAAATACAATCTTAGAGTATGCATCATTAGGAAATAAATCTATTTTGAGAAATAAATTTTAACATACACTGTTAATAGGACATTTAGAAATGTTATTTTCTAAATATATTAGAAATAATAGGACATTTAGAAATGATATTTTTTTCTTGCTTTTTGTTTGTTTGTTTGTTTTGAGACAGGGACTCATTCTGTTTCCTAGGCTGGAGTGCAGTGGCACAATCATAGTTCACTGTAGCCTCAACCTCCTGGGCTCAAGCGATCCTCCCACCTCAGCCTCTGAAAGTGCTAGGATTACAGGGTTAGCCACCAGCATCCAGCCAAGAAATCCCATTCTAATGTATTAGTGTGGTTTTATCTATTTTAGCGGTGTAAAAATCTTTGTGAATTATATATAGTATAATTGAATTGCCAAAATAAACGTCCTTGCCCTCAAATTGCTTATGATATTGTTTCTGAAGCACAGATATAATCTTTTGACCTTTTAAGCAAAAATTAATTTTTCATTCAACCTTTTTTTTTTTTTTTTTGAGACAGGATCTTGCCCTTTTGCCCAGGCTAGAGTGTAGTGATGCAATCATGGCTTACTGCAGCCTCAACTTCCCAGGCTCAAGTGATCCTCCCACCTCAACCTCCCGAGTAATTGGGACTACAGGCACGTGCCACCATACTTGGCTAAATTTAACATTTTTTTGTGGAGATGTGGTCTCGCTGTTGCCCAGGCTGGTTTTGAACTCACGGGCTCAAGTGATCCTCCTCCTTCAGTTGCCCAAAGTATTGGGATTACAGGTATGAGCCATCATGCCCAGCCTTTCATTCAACTTGTAATTCACAATTTCCAGAAAAAAGCTTTGAAATTACTGATGGAGGAAAGATCTTTGGGACTTGCTTATAAATGTGTTAATATTTGATTTTAATAAGCTCTGTCATACTAACACTGTTTATTAAGCTTTGTGGTAAAATTACTACCCATAACTAAAGAATGAAATACGTATTTTCTGCAAATTGTTAAAAATTTATAAATTGATAGAAAAATTGAATGAATAGTGAACACCGTTGTGTCTTTCACTAACTCAGCGGCTCACTTGCTAACGTTTACCTCATTTGCTTTCTCTTTCTCTCTGTTTATGAAGACATACTTTTTTAATTCCCCGAGCCATTTGAAAGTAACCTGCAAACATCTTGACATTTAACTCCTAAACATTTTAGCACGTGTATCTTAAGAACAGGGTTGTCTTCCTGAGGAGTTACATTATCATGCTTAAGAGATACGGTATTAATGCAGTATTATCTAACATATGATCCCTATTTAAATTTCATTTATTTTCTTCCCCAGAACAGCTCTTTATAGATGTTTCAACTTTTGATCCAGAACCGAGGGAAAAAATGTATCTATATCTATAGAGAGCTAAATATATCTATATTTGATCCAGAAACCAATCAAGGAAATACACACACACACCCTTTTGGCTGTCATAGTTCTTTAGTTTCCTTTACTTTAGGATAAGCCACCACCCGGCAGTGGTCTTTTATGAAATCTCATCATGTTTTTTCTTTTCTTATATAAGCTATCCCACAGTTTGCTGATTATATTTCATGCCTAGATTAAAATAAAAATATTTTTGAATGAATATACTATATAGATGGCATTAATTTTCCATTATATTACATTAGGAGGAGAAGTAACTTTTTTTTACATGTTGTTTTTTCTGCTGTATAATAGTTCAGTATTTGTTTTAATATACTGCTGTTAAAGATTTGTGATACTGTCCTTAAATTTCAAAATAGAATTTTGTGGTTTACTCTTAATTTTGTTAGTATGTTATATTCCAAAATTATAGAAAGTGCTGTAATAGACATTTATGTAATGTGGGCATACATTTAAATTTTAAAAAATCTTTTAAATTGTTAAAATATTAACATTTAACCGTATCTGCTCTAGATAGGTTTAATTTTACAAGGATCTATCTACCTCTCTTTCTATCTATAATGTATATATCCATTTTAAATAATAATAATAATACATGAATAAATCTGGCCCAACCTTCTATCTTAAGAAATGTAACAGCAACTTTGAACTCCTTCATCCCTCAAGACAATTACTCCTCCCTTCCCATAGGTAACCATCCTCCTAAATTTGATGCCATTCCCTTAGTTTTTTCTTGTTTTACCACATTTGTGTTGTCTCTTTAACATACTTTTTTTTTTTTTTAAGTTTTCTTGTTTTTGAGCTTTATACAAATGGAATTATTCTGTATGTATTCTTCTTGGACTTGATTTTTTTATTTAACATTACGATTTTGAGATGTCATTTATGTTGACATTCTTAGCTGAGGTTCATTAATTTTCATTTTTAGGTGATATCCAAATTATTGGAATATGGAATATGTCATGAATATACCACAATCCATTTTACTGTTGCTTTACACTTGGGTTTCACCTAGTTTTTGGTATGGAAAAAACAGCTTTAAATATTCTTTTACGTGGTTCGTGGTAGCTAAGTACAAAAGGTTCTCTAGGTTATATACATAGACCTGGAATGGTTGAGTCTTGGGTATGTACACCATCAGCTTTACTAGGTATGGCAGAATGTCTTCTTTTACACAGTTGTGGAATAAACCAAATAAATGAGTTCAAGAGGAGCAAGTTTGTGAGAGGATGGACTAGTGAGATAGTGAGTTACGTTTCGTGTGTTTTGAGTTTTAGCCTATTTAGTTAGAAATGTTAAGTAGGCATTTGAGATGTGTTTACTTTTTTAGCTCCGCCCATCTTTGTTTTTTCGTGGGTTTACTCATTCAGGTGTGTCATCTTTCCCTTCTCCTTAAAGTGGCCTTTAAAGAAAAAAATTGTAATATCATGGTACAACAATTACTTGATCGTAATAGAAGATGTGTTCAGTTTTTATATCTTCGGTCTCAGGCCATCCATCATATGCAACCTTTTTATTTTTCTGGACCTTGAACCACAGAACTACATTAAGCTAGTTTGCTGTTTTCCAGGGATGACATAAAGAAGTGGGTAGAGGGTGATGCTGTTAGCAAGTATGCATTCCAGGTAGTGGTTCGCAAAGGGGAGAAAACCTAACAGAAAGATGGGTGCAAGCTAAAACAAATAAACCAGTAAATAAGTAAAAAACCACAACACTCTTTCGTGATTATTTAGATCTGAAACAAATAGCAGCATGTATTAATAGTCCCTGATGATTTCGCTGTATTGTAGCATAACTCTGGTATTCATAATGTCAATTCTGAATTTCTTTATATGTTGAGAGAGTGTAATCATGCACATTTTAGCAGATCTGGTGAACTGCTAAATCTAGAATCACTCCCTGATAATTTCTGACTTAATAGTAGAAATTTAACTGTTTCATGTGGTGAAATTATTCTGGGAAGCTTGTTCCATGGGACTTTTACCTATTAGCTAATAAAACAAATGGTCTATTGATACTTTCTCAAAAACTCTGTAGAAAAAACAAAAACAAAAACAGGTGATATATACAATATATTTCTCTACTGGCTGAATTGGATTTACTTGGAAAAGGAAAGAGGGTGTTATCAAAAAATTTAAATGTCTTATTAGCTTCATAAATTGTAGAGCAAGAATGAGAATGTGGAAGTGTTTTTATGCTTCATTGTTGGGAAGGATAAATTACAAAAGAACATAGAGCTGGGTGATTATCTGGGGTTCATTCTTTTGCAGGTGCCACCCCTAGAACAGATTGGCACTCCCCTCGGAATAGTCACCCCTTCACGGAGCCAGAGCAGGAGGGATACGGAGGGAAAGGGCCCTTTCCCAACTTCAGACTGAGCACCCAGAAGTCGACCTGGGACTGCTGTTTTGTTTCTAGGAAACTGGAAACCTTGGCAGAATTGAAATTTCCTAGGTGATTTTTTTCTTCTTTGCTTTCCAAAAAATAAACTTGTATGTACACACATATATATATACACTCACACCTACATAAAAGAAAGATAATTTCAAAGAAATACTGTATCTCGTATAGTCCTTGAACAGTTATTTTACTATTCAAAGTAGGTTCTTTAAAATTGTAAATTTGAAATAAGTATGGATTTACAGAAAATTGCAAAAAAACAGTAAGGAGAGGTCCCTTGTGCCCTTCACCTTTCCCTTAGTGGTTACTTCTTAATACCCACAGCACAACATTAAACTAGAAATTGACATTGGTACATTTTGTGTGTTTAGTGCTGTGCTGTTTAAACATATATGTAGTTGATTTGTGAACCACCGTGGCATCAAGACACAAATGCTACCACCACCAAGATCTCCCTTATGCTGCACACACCTGCCCCATGGCAGCCAGTAATCTGCTTTTCATCTCTATGACGTTGACATTTCGAGGATGTTAATAAATGGAATCACATAGTATGTGACCTTTTTAAATTAGCTTATTTTCATTTGACCCAATTCCTTGAGATCTATCCAAGTTGTGTGAATCAACAGTTCTTTCTTTTTTATTGCTGAGTAGTATTCTATGGTTTGTTTAACCGTTCACCTTTTGAAGGATAATCTTTTCCCCTAGTTTTTGGCTTTTAACAGTAAAGCAGCTATGAACATTCATATTCAGTTTTTTGTGTGGACATAAATTTTTATTTCTTTGGGAGAGGTGCTGTTGAAGAAAAGAAATTATTCAGTGACACTTGTTAAAGCATGGTAAGGAAGACATTATTCAGGATCATCCCTGTAAGTGTAGGGACCACTACAAGAGTGTCTTACAGTGGGTGGGTAGAGAGCGTGGCCTGAGTGCTGGATGTAGCATGGGCAAGTGGGAATTTGCAGCCAGGGAGCTGGGTGAGGGCTAGTGGATGGAAAAATTCTCAAGAGGAAATGTCAGGTGTAAGGGGTTTCTGCCTAAACTGACCTTAACAGGATTCTTTCTTGCAAAAGACAGGCCAAGGTGATCAGACATCAGCTGGAGGGTGGCAGAAGATGAAGAGGGTAATCAGATAAAATGATGGGAGGTTTGCTAATCTAGCTTAGGAGGGTTCTTTGCTAAAGCAGGAATTTACAAGGAAGTACACAGATAGGCCTGGGAGAAAGTTCAGGAGCCTGGCTGATTTGACCAAGCAAAGAATCTTTGCCAGAGCCCAGGGGTGTGCAGTTGGTGGCTTACCTGTAAGTAGCTGTGCCATTTTACTTGCTCGCTGGCAATATATGAGAGATCCAGTTTCTTTACATTCGTGTCCACATTTGGTATTGTCACTGTTTTTTTATTTTAGCTGTGCCAATAGGTGTGCAGGGATGGTTGCAGCATAGTTTGGTTTGCATTTCCCTGATGTCTAGTAATGTTGACCATATCTTTTCATGTGCGTATTTGCTGTCTGTGTAACCTCTTCAATAAAATGTCTCTTTATATTTTTTGCCCATTTTCTAGTTGAATTTTTTTTCAGTTGTTGAGCTTTGAGATTTCTTTATATATCCTAGATGAGGCTTTTGTCACATATATTGTACAAACATTTTTAATTTTGTTGAAGTTCAGTTTATCGTGTTTTTTTTTCTTTCATGGATCATGTTTTTGGTGTCATTCCCCATTCCCCATTCCCCACTCTCCACTCTCCAGACCCAGATGGCCATGAATTTACTCTCGGTCTCTGTGGAATTGCCTATTCTGAATATTTCCCATAAATGGAATCATATGTCTGGCTTCTTTCACTTAGCATATATTCAGGCCTTATCGGTGTTGTATCATGAACCAGTTTTTTTTAATGGCTTCATTTATTTTTATAGTTGAATAATGTTCCACTGCATGGATAAGACCACATTTTGTTTAGCCATTTGTCAGTTGATCGGCAGTTAAGGTTGTTTTCGCTTATTCGTCTACACCAGTACAGCTGTGTGTGTACCCTTCAGCCCTGCACCTTCCTTATACAGGATGCACAGATGTACGCATGCGAGCACCTGTGTGTACAGTTTTGTTTTCTTTTTTAAATAGTGGAGGATTAACTTATTTTATAGTTGTTTTTTTTTCTTCGATATTTAGGATGCCTTTTTATGTCTATACAAATAGATATTTATCTCATTATTTTAAAACACTGTATAGTGTTTAGTGTGGCTGCTTAATTGATCCTATTCTAATAAACATTTATTTGACATTGGGCAACTTCCTGTTTTTCTTTCTTATATAACAGTGGCACCAGGCACAGTGGCTTACGCCTGTAGTCCCAGCACTCTGGGAAGCCAAGGCAGAAGGATCACTTGAGCCCAGGAGTTCGAGACCCTCCTGGGCAACATACAGAGACCTCATTTCTACAAACAAACAAACAAAAAATTATCCAGGGTTGGTGGCACTTGCCTGTAGTCCCAGCTACTTTGGAGGCTGAGGTGGGAGGATCACTTGAGCCCAGTAGGTCGAGGCTGCAAGGAATTAGGATCACACCACTGCACTCCAGCTTGGGTGACAGAGCAAGACCCTGACTCAAACAAAAAATAGTGACACTAATCATCCTTGTACAAGTGTCTTTTTGGTGCATAGCTAGTTTTATCTACTTTTGGATTTTTCTCTTCAATGCCATTCATCATTAACTTACTTAGAAGTGTATTGATTATCTCCTATAGACCAGGCACTGTACTGTGTATCAGACACTAGGGACACAAACACTAGTAAAATGCTATACTCGAGTTTTTTGTAAAGACGATATATCTATAAATAGGTAATCATGGTTCACTGTGATTAGCACACAATGTGTTATTACTAAAATCCTGTGGAACAAGTAACAAAGGAGTGTGGAGGATTAAAACAAGGGAGGGGATGCTTAAGGTGGGTCTTCGTGAGTACAAATGGAAGTTCATTTGGGAAAATATAAGAACACTGAGTTTTGAAATAGAATTGCAAGTGTGAAGAAAGGGACCAGCACTGCATAGGGTGGCATATTTAGGAAATAGCAAATCCATAGTTTAATACAGTCATCAGGAGGCTGTTGGGCAGAGATTGTAGCAGAAGGTAAGGCATGTTAGGTTAAACAGATTGAAAGCAGATTATAGCAGTCTGTGAATGTCCTAAAGAATTTGGACTTCATATTGTACATAATTAGAAATAATTGAAAAAAATGTAGGCACACTTAAATTTTTTAAGTTTAGTAAATTTTTGTGCTGTGACACTTTATCACCTCCCACAATCACCCTCTTCTACCTCCTCATCTAGGCAACCACTGCTTGTTTTCTGTCTCTAAATTTGCTTTTCCTCAACATTTCATATGCATTGGAAACATGTAGTATGCAGTACTTTTACATTGGCTTCTTTCACCTAGCGTGTCTTTGAGGCTCATGTATGCTGTAATGTGTATCAGTATTTTGTGCCTTTTTATTGCCTGATGGTATTCCATTCTGTGGTGATGCCACACTTTATATGCTCAGCAGATGATGGATGTTTGGATTGTTTCCGGTGTTTGGTTATTATTAACAAAGCCGCTATGAACATTTGTAGATAAATCTTTGTGTGGGCACATATTTCTCTTGGGAAGAGGAAATTTTGGATCTTGTGATGAGTTTATGTTTATATATAACTTTAAGAAATTGGGGCATGGTAGCTCACGCTTATAATCCCAGTGACTCGGGAGGCTGAGGTGGGAGGATTGCTTGAGCTCAAGAGTCAAGAGGTCAAGGCTGAAGTGAGCCATGATCATGCTACTGCACTCTAGCCTGGACAACAGAGTGAGACCTTACCTCTAAAACAACAAAGAAAAAAAAGTTTACAGACTATTCTCCAAAGTGACTGCATCATTTTACAGTCCCGTCAGCAATGTACGAGGGTTCCAGCTTCTCCAGATGCTCATCACCACTTGGTATTGTCTTTTTGATCATGCCCATTCTGATGGCTATATAGTGTGTCTCATTGTAGTTTTAAGTTGCATCTTCCTAATGACAGGATGTTTATAATCTTTTCATGAAGCAGTTATATTTTAGAAACATGAGTCCAGTGGATAGAGGTAAGAATGGAGGTGAACTACATGAAAGATGAGCGCCTACGCCAGACAGCATGTATAGAGATGGGGAGACATTTTAAAGGTATGTGTATCAGCGTTAGAATGAGCAGCATTTAGTAACTCCTGAGTATAATAGATGAAGCAGAGGGAGGTGGGGCTTGTGATCCCAGGATTTTAAACTTTGGCAATTGGGTTCTTCTTGGCTAATGGTGCTGCCATTAGCCAAAAAGTGACTACAGGTACATAAACAGATTTTGTGTTGGTGAATGATGGCTTTTATATTGATCTTGTTCTCTTGGTGTGCCACTGGAATAAACATTTAATAGAGTGTTTGGAAACATGTATCTAGTTCAAAAGAAGGATCTGGCCTGAGGTATGAATTTAGGGGAGTTTACATTGTGTAGGGAACAACTAAATTCATGAAAGTAAATGATGTATCTGTTCCTAAGTCACCCTGTCTGCTGAGTTACTTGTGGCAAGTTGTTTAAACAGTAAAAGAATTTAATATGAAAAGATCCACGTTAAGATGATTCTAGGATTAATTCATTCAGGCATGACAGCATCACCAAGGACCTCAGGTTCTTTCTGTCTTTTAATGCTGCCGCTGTTCTTGATCTGTTGGTTGTCCTCATGGTCCAGTTCTTGTTTACACATTCAAACCCAGAATTGCATGCAAAAAGACTGGGAGCATGTGTTTTTGCCTGGATCTTTTTTCGTCAACCAAGAAAACCTTTCCTAAAAGCTCCCTAGCAAATTTACTTTCTTGTCTTCTTGGCCGGAATTGCATTAGGTATGTGTTACCAGCCTACCCGCTGGCAAGGGGAATGGAAATTGTCACAGCTGGTTCAGACTGCAGCTTTCTAGCCCAAGTATCTTTTACTGTTCTCTCTTCTGGAAGAATCCTTTTCCCCCTTGCCTTTTGATTCTCTTCTGTAGTTGAGATAGGTTAGATTTTCCATGCAACCCAGTTTTATATCACTTAGTTGTTACTATTCAAATACTTCACAACAGCAAATACTTGCCAAAATCCTATACTCTGTCATTCACTGTGCCGGATTCTAGGATACAGAAATGAATAAGAAACTTGTAGTTTGACATAGATATAAGCTTAAATAGAAGAGTGCTATGATAGATTTGTACACTAAAGTTCCTTTGGACTATGAATTTAGTACAACTGTTTATATGTTTGCTTTTTATGAGTAAAGGCATCGCGAGTTTCAAAGTCAGACTTATATTCAACTTATAAATGAACTTTTGGAAATTTAGAACACAACCCATTCATGAGTTGATGTTCCCTTTCTAGTTAGATGGTTACATGTTTATTATAGGAGTGCATGGTATACTAGCCTAAATTAACTGTTCATTGGAGTTATTTAAAGCTGAACCCACATTATATTTTTTTGGAGCATCATGTTTGCGTTTTCTAGCTAACATACCAAAGTAACAGTAATATCTTTAGTTTAAGAACCCGACTGAAATGTTTGTAAAATGTAGATTGTTTTATAATTTGGCTTTTTGTTTTTAATGGTCATATGAATGCAGCTATCGTGTTTGCAGTATTTGTGCAGTGCATGGGGTACTTTTTCTGGGTGCTGAGAAGGGAGGAGAAATTATAGGGAAGAGGGGATTTGGAGTAGCCAAAGGAAAAAATGTGCAATCAGTGTTGTTGATTCCACCGAATTGTAAGAATTCCATCACATCTTGATATCTGATACAAGCTCAAAGTTAATCTTAAATTTTGGCTTAGGTCATGGCCGTATGTGATGGCTACTTGGGAGGCTGAAGCAGGAGGATCCTTAGAGCCTGGAAGGTCCAGGCTGCTGTGAGCCATGATCGTGCCACTGCACTGCAGCCTGAGTGACAGAGTGAGACCCTGTCTTTAAAAAGAAAACAAAACAAAACAAAACAAAAAAGTGTCCAGGCCTGGTGGCTCACGCCTGTAATCCCAGCACTTTGGGAGGCTGAGGCGAGCGGATCATGAGGTCAGGAGTTCAAGACCAGCCTGTCCAACATGGTGAAACCCCATCTGTACTAAAATACAAAAATTAGCTGGGCATGGTGGCGCACGCTTGTAATCCCAGCTACTGGGGAGGCTGAGGCAGAAGAATGGCCTGAACCCAGGAGGCAGAGGTTACAGTGAGCCGAGATCGTGCCACTGTACTCTAGTCTGGGTGACAAGCAAGACTCTGTATCAAAAAACAAAACAAAACAAAACAAAAAAGTGTTTTGGCCTAGATTGACTAAAAGAATATTTAAACTATTATTTTCTATAAAGCAAATCATATTAATAATAGAAATTAGTGGGTGACGTTCTGAAACCTTATACATAACTGGTATGATATCCATAATTAGTGCTTGTCCTTGGATTCTGCATGGGTAGTGAGCTTTAAATAAAGTATCTTGTTGGTTTAAGATTGAACCATTTTAATAATTTTGAAAACCAAGATGGATATGTACATTTTGATGACAAGATGTTTTGTAAGGGAAATGTGGGATTAAAATGAACTTTTTGTGTGTGTTTACAAATAATTATTAATGTTGAGGAAATTTTTGATGTTAGCTCTGAATTATGAATGTTAGAATATATTTAGAAACGTTTGATTTTCATTTTTTCCATGTCATTGAGAAGCTTGGATATGTTTTTTTAAAGAATTGCCTTCTTCTTAATGTGTTTTCTACAACTAATAGTCTTAGAAATTTCAGACACAAAATCTTTGAAAAAATGACTTGTACTTACTTAGCGTTTTGTTTTGACTAACACCCCTGGTGGTTGTTGAACCACAAGTTCATAGTGTTAAAAGCCTGTGGTAAATTACCCAGTAAGCTAAGTGATTAAAGTTGTTTGGAACATTTTGCCCATGTATGTCCTATTTTTATGTGTATACGTATTTATAGAGTTGTGCTCATAGGACTATAGCACTACATTGCAAAGGTCCTAACCTTTACTTTATTCACACAACTTCCATTGTGTGCAAAGTGACTTGCAGATCTGTACTGTGGAGCATATGTTTCCTGTGTCTTTTGTTTACCTCTGAGTAATGAAGTCAAATCTTACTTGATTTTCCTTAGCTAATCTATGTTATGTTATGTTACGTTATGTTATGTCACGTTATGTTACGTTATAGTTCTAGGATACATGTGTGGGACTTAAATTCAGTCTTTAGGAAAGGTTTTCTAGGCTGGGCACAGTGGCTCATGCCTGTAATCTAAGCACTTTGGGAGGCTGAGACAGGTGGATCACTTGAGGTCAGGAGTTCGAAACCAGGCTGGCTGACATGACGAGACCCTGTCTCTACAAAAAATATAAAAATTAGCCGGGCGTGGTAGTGTTCGCCTGTAGCCCCAGCTACTTGGGGAACTGAGGTGGGAGAATTCCTTAAGCCCAGGAGTTTGACACCAGCCTGGACAACATGGCGAAACCCCATCTCTACAAAAAATATAAAAATTAGTTGGGCATGGTAGTGCGTACCTGTAGTCCCAGCTACTCGGGAGGCTGAGGTGGGAGGATTCTTTGAGCCCAGGTGGTGGAGGCTGCAGTGAGCTGTGATTGTGCCACCACACTCCAACCTGGGCAACGGAGCCAGACTCTGTCTCAAAAAAGAAAAAGAAGAAAAGATTTTCTGAAGTTTATGTTGAGTGTTTGTACATGTGGGAAAACAGAGAAGAACAGATCATCTGGGGTTTTGGACTTTGAAGATGGGGTGTTTGAAAGCTCTTTTGGTTATGTTATTCTCTATTTTTTAAACTTTAAATTTAGCCTGAAGCCTAAAACTTTTTAGCCAAGAAAATAATGTTTTAGTAAATAGTGCTGTAATAAACAATAGTTGGTAAGTTTACATGTTAATTTTATAATTTGATACATTGGAAATATCTGGTAGAATTAGAATCAGGCTATATATATATGAATATATGTATGTATATATATGGTGTGTGTGTGTGTGTGTGTGTGTGTGTGTGTGTGTGTGTGTGGTCAGGCTGGTCTTGAACTCCTGACCTCAAGTGTTCCACTCACCTTGGCCTCCCAAAGTGTTGGGATTACAGGCATGAGCCACTGTACCCGGCCAGGCCATATATTTTTAAAACAGACACTTCGATGAACTGTTTTTACTTTTTGGGGATAAATTAATTTGAACTTTGTTTAATACAGTGATTGCCTCCTCTCTCTTCCATACCCTTAGGGAGGAATGGAGTAGTTGGCAAATAATGGCTTTGGGGAAGAATCTCCCTATGCCATTTCTAAAATGGAAACAATGCGTTTCTTCTTCTTTTTTTTTTTTTTTTGGAGACGGAGTTTTTCGCTCTTGTTGCCCAGGCTGGAGTGCAATGGCGCTATCTCAGCTCACTGCAACCTCTGCCTCCCCGGTTCAAGTGATTCTTCTGCCTCAGCCTCCAGAGTAGCTGGGATTACAGGCATGTGCCACCACATGCGGCTAATTTTTGTATTTTTAGTAGGGACAGGGTTTCTCCACGTTGGTCAGGCAGGTCTCGAACTCCTGACCTCAGGTGATCTGCCCGTCTCAGCCTCCCAAAGTGCTGGGATTACAGGCATGAGCTGCTGTGCCTGGCCCGCATTTCTTTTCTTGATTAGTAAAAGGGAAATTAAAGATTATGAGCATTTCAGAAAAACACGAAACACCAACTCTTTATTTTTGCCTTCCCTCATTTCTCTGAGGGACAGCCTGAGAGTTTTATAGTCATATGAGGACTCTGAAAAATGTTAGAGACCTGGCTAAGTTGTGGGTAACTAGTGCATTGAAAAGACTGAAAGGCTCCTGAAAGCAAAGCATTGCTAATTGCATTCAGGGTCAGGCTGTCTTTAGCCAGACCATGAAAGATACAGCAGCCTGTCTGCTGAGTGGAGACTCTTGTCTTTAAGAAAGACTGCTACCTGATATGCTAGACCGTTTCAGGTTGCCGTCGTTTACATGAATTTAGTCATTATTGCCAAGACTGCTAAACCTCAGTGTGACACAAGTGATACTTCTAAATGGACTTGAAGACAAGGTATTTGACCTTGCAATGGGGCATAGGCAATGTTCATACAGCTTTTAAAATACGAAACAGAATACTTTGCTATTTGAAGTTTCCGTTAAAAGATTGAATGAGATTATTTTTAAGATCGCTAAGTAAACAGCAGACATATCTTTAAAAATTTTTTTATCACTTGACCCAGGAGGTGGAGGTCTCAGTGAGCTAAGATTGTGCCACTGCACTCCAGCAGGGGTGACAGAACGAGACCCTGTCTCAAAAAAAAAAAAAAAAGTTAACCTTTAATAGTTTCTATCTTTTAGATTTATGAATGCTTGCCCCTTAAAGGGTAAGGTGTTAATGGCAGTACTAATATACGGTAGTTTAGACCTATTCCACGGACTTAGCTCAACCAGTGCAATTAATTCTCCACCCTCACAAGTCCTAATGTTCTAGGTAGAATTGTGGCTGAAATGAAAACTGGTTATGAGACTTTATAATAAAAAAGTAGAAAAAAGTGATATTAGCTAGATGATCCAATATATTATTGTCTAAGTAGGAATCTGAATATTGTAGAAATGTACGTTTTGGTGCTGCTTCTAGCTGTTCCTGTTCTTTTTCTTTTCAAATTGAGATGAGATTTTTTTTTTCTGTAAAGCTTAAGCTAAGATAGGAATTTTATATGGAAGTACTGTTCCCACAGAACTAACTTTAAAAATGTAAAGCTTGGGCAGAGGTTGAGGAACATGGTAAAGTGATAGATTTCTTAAAAACTGTAGAAATTTTCGTTGACTTTACTTTGAAAAGGTATAGTTGTACATGTGAAACACTTCTAGTATTGCTTCTACATGTATTATTCTGACAGTGTTCCTTAAGTCTTAAATAAGTTCTTTTTTTTTCTAAACAGACTTATGAAAATATGCATCAGTTTAATACTGTCTTGGAATTCATGAGATGGAAGCATAGGTCAAAGCTGTTTGGAGAAAATCGGAGGTACAGTTTTATCTAGCCACATCTTGGAGGTAAGGAAAATAACATAATTAGAATAATACGAAATTTCTCATTTTTTAATAGTTGAAAATAATCCTTCTACATTGCCACTTTATTTGAGCGTTCTTCAGTTTCTTTGTAACACCACTTTATAGTAGCTTTTTTAGTTTCCTTAATCATCTTCCTAATGAGTTCATAAATAATTCTAATATATTTTCCTCATAAATGTTGAACCTCTTCAGGAGTGAAAGGTATTTATTTCTTACTAATCACTTTCATAAATCTCCTTTTGGAAGATAAGCATTAAATGGTTTATATGTTTATTTTTTCACCCTAAGTTTGCAAGGCAGAGTTCAGAATGCAAGATTAGGCCAGATGCACCTGTAATCCCAGCACTTTGGGAGGCTGAGGCGGGTGGATCACTTAAGGCCAGGAGTTCGAGACCAGCCTGGCCAACATGGCAAAACCTCGTCTCTACTAAAAATGCAGAAATTAGCTGGGCATGATGGCGTAAGCCTGTGATCCCAGCCACCTGGGAGGCTGAGGTGTGAGTTGCTTGAACCCAGGATGCAGAGGTTGCAGTGAGCTGAGATCGTGCCACTGTACTCCATTCTGGGCAACAGAGCAAGACTCTGTCTCAAAAAAAAAAGAAAAGAAAAGATTATATTGAAAAATGAATGTTTATGTTATTCTGAAGTTTTTATGCTTTTTAGAATTCAGGATTTTTTTTTTTTTTTTTGGAGACAGGATCTTGCTTTTGTCACCCAGGCTGGACTGCAGTGGTGTGAGCATAGTTCCAACCCCCTGGGCTCAAGCGATCCTCCTGCCTCAGTCTCCCACATAGCTGGGACTACAGGCACACATCACCATGCCCAGCTAATTTTTTTTTTTATAGAAACAGGGTCTCTTTATCCCTCTGTGTTGCTCAGGCTGGTCTTGAACACCTGGACTCAAGTGACCCTCCCTCTTCAGCCTCCCAAAGTGCTGCGATTACAGGCATAAGCTACCACGCCTAGCCCAGGATAATATTTTTAGCATGTTAGAATAATAGATCTTTGGAAATAGAATTTAAAGAGGTAGGAGCTGCCAGAAATAGGAGGAAAGAAGCCATCCTAAGACAGTATGTACAGGAAAATCAGGCTTACTGTTTTAAAATCCATTTAGAGACTAATGATCAGGTAAAAGGTTTGAATTCATCAGGGATCTACATTTTAAGAAATAGATAGGATGTATAGTTTTGGGAAGCAGTCTACGCTTACACTTCTGGAGGTTGCAGACTTTGCTCGCTGCTTCTGTTAATACTTGCAGCATTCACTTGCCCTTCTCCTGCCCGTGCCAAACCGCTGGATTAGCTCTTCTGAAAAATACTGTGACTCTCAAATTCTTTTATGAGGTTTCATATTGTTTGATTGGTAGAGCTGTTTTTTCTTTCTCAGTTCTTTTTTTTTTTTTTCTTTCTCAGTTCTTTTGGTTTCCATGATTGTATGCTCTTCTGATTCCACTTATTTAATTACTCCTTCACCTTTTTTCCTTTCCCTCCTACTTTTAAATAATAATGGCCTTCCCCAAGGTTTTATCTTTGAAATTCTTCTATTTTTTTTTCTTATGCCTTTCCTAGTCTCATGATTTCCACAGTTGTCTCTAAAATGATCTCTCTCAACTTCCTATCTCAGTTGTGGCATTTTCTCTAAGCTTCAAGCCCATATTTTCAGCTGTTTACAGAGGGCTTAGCTTAGTGCCTCAGACTTCCTATTATCTAGCACATCATTCATCGTGAGCTCTGCACTGGCTATTTCTCCTTCTGTTAACGGACCTCTTTGTCACCCAGGCTCAGAGTCTTAGTGCTGTATCGGATTCCTCATCATTTGCTTCCTACCCTTAGGCACAAGTGAAGTCCTATCAGTTTTACTTCTCTGACGTATCACAAATATTTGAATCCTCTCCTTCCGAGTCCCCCTTCACCATCCAAGTTTAGGTCCTTACATTACATTTCACTGAAAATATTGCAGGGATCTCCCAACTTGTGCTTCTTCTCACTCATACTTCACTTTACATGTTACTGCCAGCTTAAATTATCTTAAGAGAGAATTTTGCTTGTATTGTCGGTGACAGTTTGCGTGTCTGCCAGAGTAAGGACAAATTCCTCTAATTTTAAAGACAGCATAGCTTTGCCTTCATCTGTCCATTTCTTTCACCCTTTAAGCATTTATTAAACACCTACTGTATGCCAGGCATTGTGTTAGATCAGAATGCAAAACATTAAATAAAAACAGGTTCCTGGCTATACTCAAAAAACAGTCTGTCTAGAGATGGATGAGCATGAAAACAGTTATTTAAGTGCAATCTGAGAAGTGCTATATTATGATTGAAATGATTTATTTGATTATTCCACACTGTATACATAGATTATAATTATAACATCATGGTACACCCATAATTGCATACAGCTATAAGTTTTCAAAAAAATTTAAAAATACGAGTGACCATGTCAAAAAAAAAAAAGTATATTGGCATCACCTAGAAAGACTACACCAATGTTGTGAGAGGAGAGAATTGTCAGGCAGGCTTCAGAGAAGAGAGAATATTTGAGCAGAGTCTTGATGGACGAGTAGAGGATTGCCGAATGGAAATTGGAAAGTGTAATACTGTAAAATACGTATTTGGTTTTTGATGCCATTTCCTGGCATTCAAGTCTTAAAATCCTTGAAACCTCTGAAGTGATGTCTTTTTGTATGCTAATGAGTTAACTAGTAGATGGCAGCCCGCTGGTTAGCTTTAGGTTGGGGGCTGGTCAGCAGAAAGACTAAGGCAGGATTAGAATCAGAACTTTCAGTTCCCACCCCCCCAACCCCCAACATTTAGGGAGGGGAGAAGGGCAGAGGGTTAAGTTGATCACCAGTGACCCGTGGTTTAGTTAGTTATGCCTACAGAATGAACGTTCCATAAAAACCCAAAAGAACTGGGTTCAGAGAGCTTCTGGATAGCTGAACATGTGCAGGCTCTGGTGCCCTGTACATCTCTTTATCTATTCTTTGTAACATCCTCAATAATAAACCTGTAAACATAAATGTTTCCTTGAATTCTGTCAGCCGCTCTAGCAAACTAATAGAACCTGAGAAAAAGGGGTTGTGGATACCTGGATTTATGGCTGGTTGGTCAGAAGCACAGGTAAAATAACCTGGGCTTGCCATTGGTGTTGAAAGTGGGGACCACCTTGAGGATTGATCCCTCAACCTGTGGGATCTGGTGCTGTCTCCAGGTGGATAGTGTCAGAATTGAATTGGAGGTTCCAGCTGGTGTCTGATGCAGAATTGTCTGCTTGCTTGTTGGTGGAGAGAAACCCTCACACATTTGGTAAGAAAAGTCTTCCCTGTTGATTGTTTTGGTGAGAGGGCAGAGGAAAAATAGTTTGAGTGTTTTCCATACTCACAGAAGGCAAGGGAATTAATTTCATGCACAGAACCCAGAGCGGGGTGGAGGCAGAGCTTGCAAGTGTATAGAATGTACAGAAGATAGAATAATTTTTGTATGGCTTGAATTTAGAATAGGAGAGCGAGTTTGAAGGACAAGGCTGGAAAGGACCTTATGAAGAATTTTGAATGCCATGGCAAGGAGTCTAGACTTTTATTTTGTGAAAAATGGGCAGTCATTGAAAAATTTTAACATTTAAAGATATTTTGGATCATAATTTTTTGTTAAAATTAATATGATGTTTGTATTAGTCAGTTTTCATGCTGCTGACAAAGACATACCCAAGACTGGATAATTTATAAAGTAAAGAGGTTGAATGGACTCTCAGTTCCACATGGCTAGAGAGGCCTCACAGTCATGGCAGAAGGTGAAAGGCACGTCTTACATGGCAGCAGGCAGAGAGAATGAGAGCCAAGCGAAAGGGGAAACCTCTTACAAAATCATCAGATCTTGTGAGACGTATTCACTACCAAGAGAAGAGTATAGGGGAAACCGCCCCCATGATTCAATTATTTCCCACTGGGTCCCTCCCACAACATGTGGGAATAATGGGAGCTACAGTTCAAGATGAGATTTGGGTGGGGACACAGTCAAACCTTATCATCGGTGATATGAATGGTAGTTTGGAAAAAGGAAAAACCAAAACTGGAGAGATAAGTTAGGATATTCTTAACTGTTTCAAGCAAGAAATAATGAAGCTGTCAACTTAAGATGGGGGCCAACTTACCCGTTTAAGCATTGATTGTTTAGAAAATGTTTAATTTTCTTCTCTTCCCCTATGTACTGTACTCTTCAGCTAGTGATTTGAAATTGTCCTGCGTTTTCTTTTCTCTCGGCATATTTTTGGCCCTTCCTTTCTCTTGTGGAGTGCCTATGAACCTTAAAAACCACATCTCAAATGGCAGTTCATCCCTAAAGTTCTTTCTAATCTGTATTGCTTTGACTCTAAATATATGTCCTTTCTTAGTCTAAAGCCCCCAAAGCACTTATTTTTATTCTACAGGATATTACTTTTTTGGTACCTATTAAAATATGTGGCAGCAAGTCTTAAAGGAGGAATCAGAAAGTAACCTGCGCCCTACCCTTGGTGGTATATAGTCCAGTTAGCGAGGTATGTATATAAGTAATGTAAGTAATGATAACCAACATTGCCACGCAAAAGTGAGGAATGCCACAGGAGTAAATTGTTGCTTCTAGTCAGGGTCCTGTAACTGAGAAGAACATGGGAGGTTATGTGAGCTGTGCTTTGAAAGATGAGTTAAATTTAGATGGGTAAAGGATATTTCTGGAAAAGTGGATGGATAGAAAGTGAATGTTTTTGTAGGAATGTGGTGAAGGTCTTAGAAAGGGTAGAAAGTATGATGTGAAGAAAGCTCTTTTAGGGAAATTACTGTAGCAGTGATATATAAACTATACATCATTAGAGAAATGAAGTGAGGAGGTAGGGAGCTGAGTGAGGAGATTGTGGCAATAGTTAGGCTTGAGTTGATCAGAATTCAATCAGGGTGGTGATTGTGAAAAGAGAAAAGCAAGACTCAATGGTAAAGGTATTGTGGCAGAA